TTCTCAGTTAATTGTGTGGGCATCCTTAGTTGGAACAAGAGAGCTATATCTACACTTGCGGCTTCTTGCACAAGAAATATACAAATGAGGCTAAGCGTGGAATATCGCGAAGCCTCATTTGCATTCCTAATAAGCCACCATTTTTGCAAAAGAGGCTCTTGCACCAGAAGGAGCTGTCCACACTGCCCCTTCTTGTGCAAGAAAAACCCTCTTGCGCAATGCCGTTATTCCTGAAAATAATCAGCTTAGCGGCATTGCACAAGAGGGTTTTTGTTGCGCAAGAAGGGGGCAATGTAGACAGCTCCTTCTGGCGCAAGAGCCTCTTCTGCAAAAATTGCAGCTCATTAGGTATGCAAATGAGGCTTGGCGATATTCCACGCTTAGCCTCATTTGCATATTTCTTGCAAAAGAAGCCTCAAGTGTAGACATAGCCCAGGAGACTAGAATTCAGAGAGAAACCAGAGGGCAGGGATCAAGAGCAGCGTTCCCTCTAAGCTGGGCAGCACAGTTACCAAGAGTCAGTTACCAAGAGTCAGGCTAAGTCAGGATACCAGGAGGACAGGATCAGGTAAATCCCAGACCAGCAAGGTGAAGCCCAGTTTTAGGGACAATTTCTTTTTTTCTTCTGTGGCTTAAACAGGGGCTAAGGCCCAATCAGCAGAGTTAGAGCTCTCCCAGGCAGAGCATGGGGAGGAGGGTTGCCCCAGCTGGGGTTCATCAACCCTGGCCCTTCCCAGCTGCTTTCTGTAAGCTGCCAGGTGGAAGGCTGGAATATGACTCCCCCCATCATTCCTATGGCTACAGGTTGGAGACCTGCAAGGCCTGACTTGTACATGCATCCAAATAGCAACCAGCCAAAATCTCCTTCACTTGTGAAGACTGGCAGTGTTGCAGCTTTGGGGTGACAGAACTGGATGATGTGTATTGACTGTTCATATTGGCTCTGTTGCTTGGGTTCTTTTGAGGTGAAAACTAATTAGTAGCTAAAACAAACATTGATTCCGTAGTTGTGTGGGATGCAACATCTTTAAGGCTCAGACATCTGAGGGAGTGATGAATGTCACAAGGCTCAATCACGGAGAGGATAGTACAACAATGTAAAATATTACATTTAAAAATCTAGCATAGGAAATGATTCATCATTCTAGCAAATGCTGCTTTTTACTTGTAGTGGAATATACATACATTTCAGTATATAAGGCATCCAGTAAGGTTATAGGATTGTATGAAGACATAACGTACAATAACATTTTAAGAGAGATTCTATTGTTTTAATGCCTCAGGCATTTGAGTGTAATTTTTCATGATGCTAAAGGTAGGCATGTGCCACTTGAGGGTTGGGAGCCTCTGTTACTTCACTCAGCCAAGAACTCTGGCTGATCAGGAGAGCTGTAAATTACATCGGTCACCTACTGCCCCGTGGTCTTTGCCTACTAGGTAGAATTAAATATCATGGTTACCACTCCCCTCCAATGTAAAGGCATATAGTTAGCATGTGTTGTTTGTTCTGTTCATATTGCTGTGATGAGGGGACTTCTGTGACTCAACCTATGTGGTGATCATGCCACTGATGCCTGCCTTCCTGCCCTCTGGGCCAGATCCTCTGGTCCTTCCCAAGCCAAACCACAGATTTGGGATTACCGCCCTCCTGCAGAGCAACACAGACATTGAAACAGTTCCATTCTGGGAAGACTCAGCTAAAAAAGGCTCAGCACCCAGGAAACCAACCCCCAAAAGGGACCAAATAAATCTGTCTTATTCTGTCTTTTACACAGGAAAAGTCTACAGAAAAAGCTCCCTTTGTCAATGAAAGAGACATATGTACAATGCCCTCCCTCCCCCGGTAACAATTACTTACATTGCACTTTATAAAAACACTTTTGTTTATTATCAAGTATAAAAAGTAGGATTTAAGTGGTTGTAAGTGAAAACAGTCAGATCGAAGTAAGTTACTAAATTAAAATGAACAAAAAACACTTAACTATTTCTAATTCACTAAGAAACTTGTAACATGCAAATTCTTATTCTAAGGAGCTGTTCTTATCTTGGGTAAAATGTTTCAAGTCAGAGTTGATTTTTACTCTGGCCTGGGTCTACAGCGTTTTCAAAGTTCTTTGTATCCTCTTATAGTGTGCCTGGCAGTTTCAAAGGCCATCTGAAGACAAAAGATTGATGGTTTCCCATTGCTTAAATAGATTTTCCCCCATGGTGGAAACCCTTTGTTTGGCATCCTCCATCCCTATGGAAAAGTACAGTAAAACTCCGATGGTCCGGCATCTGATAGTCCAGCACTCCTGATGGTCTGGCACCATCAGGAACCCGGAAGTGCTCCGGGCAACCGGACCATTGGAGCTGCTCTGCCCCCAGCTTCCCGGATTCAGCCGCTGCTAAAACTGACCAGCGCTGAATCCGGAAAGCAGGGGGCAGAACAGCTGGAGTGCTGCCGGGTAGGTCCAATAGCGCTGCCCCTCGGGGCTGCGGGACCAACCCGGCAGCACCC